AAAAACTGTCTGAAGCCAAAAAAAAAAAAAAAAAAAAAACCAGAAGATATCCCTGAAGAACAGATTTTTCCTAGACAGGCTTTGACACTAGTGTATAGCTGCCTGTTACCAAAACTCACAAAGATCTTCACAAAAAACAAAAAATTTTTGAAATAGAAAATGACAAGACAAAGGAGTAAAAGGCAATCTCAGACCTCCAGCCTATCCAGAACAAAGCCAGGTGACATCAACACAGAAGAACTTGAAGTCACATACCTGAAATTTTTTTTTTTTTTTTTTTGAAATGCACTTAGTACATGGTCTATAGGGTCTCACTACACAGATTGGACTTGTGATCCTCCCTGTTTTTCAGCCTCTCAAGCACTGGGATCACAGGTGTGTGCTACCATGCCCAGTCTCAACTGCTGCCTCAGAGTGCTCCAGGGGCTAGACCAGCATGGCAGGCAGGGGACTGAACCCCCAGCTCTTGCATCTGCCTAAGCAGGCACTTTAATCCACTGAGCTATCTGGCAGCCCCAAAATTTCTGAAATGATAGCAACCCAAGTAAATAAACAACTCTAGGAGATAACAGAAATCAGATCAGAAATAATCGCTCAAGTAAAAAAAGAAATGACAACCACAATAAAGAGTTGCTCAGCATATATAAAGGAGAAATAGATTAAAACTAAAAATAGCACAGGAAATGACAAAAAGCTTGAATGAATGATATAGGAAATACTTAAAGCGCAAGGTCCTGAGTTCGATTCCAGGCATCACTATAAATAAATAAATAAATAAATTCAACTGCAAGCTGGCAGAACCAAAACACTGAATAATTCTTTGTGGTTGTCATTTCTTTTTTTTACCTGAAAGATTATTTCTTATCTGAGTAATACTCCACTGTATAAAAATACCACATCTTTTTTACCCATTCCTTGGTTGTTTCCAAAATTTAGCTATGACATATTGTGCTCCTATAAACATGGGTGAAAAAACATGCATCACTGCTCTTTTAAAAAGTAGTAAAGAGTTTAAAATCCATCAAAAAACATGAACCTTGCTTAGAGAATGCTTCGTGTCAACAGGCATATGAAAGGAGTACTAGAGTTAGAAAAACTATCATTTTCTAACCATCACAGTAAAGATTACTCCAGGCAAGTATCATTAATGGATGCTAAGTATAAGAAGAGAAAATTTAGAGTCAGATGTTTTTGCAACTTAAAGCATTTCCAAAAGCACTGTTTCAAAACAAGGGGAAAAAACAGCAATACAGTAGTACACAACATCTTGATGGAATGGTCAAATCATTACTCAAAAGCAACTGAACATGGTATACCTCCAGATACAATACCCTGAGAAGTACAGAATATTACTCACATCATATTTGAGAACGGCAAAATACAAATCTACTCATAAGGAAAGAGTACACAAGACCCAAATGAGGTGCATTTTATTTAAGAGAAGAGGTCATATACTCAAAAATATCTATGCCACTGAGTCTCTCTACCCTAAAGGATACTAAAGAGCTATTTAGTTAGATGTAAGACATAATTCTAGACTAAGTTCTGTATTGCAGAAGTAAAACAAGGCAAGGTCTGGGTCAATGGAAAAGCATGGAACATGGACAGTGCATTGGTATTAGAGATTTGTTGAGGTAGGCAATGGTGATGTGTTGTGTAGGAAAGTGCTCTTTTCCTTAGGAGATATTGAGGCACTTAGGTAAAAGAGAAAATAATATGTGCCACTTATTCTCCAATGGTTCAAGGAAACCACTAACATGTTATATTATGAAATTTTCTTTTCTTGGTATTTAGTACAGGGTCTCACTACACAGATGACTCGTAGTGATTGTATTTTCAGCCTCCCAAGCGCTGGGATTACAGGTGTGTGCCACCATGCCCAGTCTCAATCGCCATTTCAGTGCGTCCCAGGAGCAGGGCCAGCACAGCACGCTGGGGATCGAACCCCGGCTGCAGTTCTCTACCTAACCTGAGCTATCTGGCCAGCCCTATTATGAAAAATTTCTAATCTGCCAGTAAAATGTAAAATGATACTTCCTCATTTTAATTTGCATTCCCTGAAGCAAAACTAAACACTCTATGTTTAACAATCACTTTCTCTGAACTATTGTTTCTTGATTTTTAAGTACTTTTGTATACATACAATATTTCATCTACCTACAAGATGTGAAATGTCAAATAATTTGCAAAGGTGCTATTCAACTATTTCAGGACTATTTTTTAAATGAATTGTTTCTCTGCCCCAGTGACTTTAATGCCCTTTTAGGTATATTTTGAAAATACTAGTATTTTTTCAAATCTGTACAGTATTTTTCTTTTCATTAACTTAAACCACTTTTTAAAACTCCACCTGGATAAGATCTTCTATAATGACACTCTTATCAATACAAATACTGGGAGTGTTTAAAAAGTAGACAGTATTTCATTAACTACTCACAACCCATACCTATAAATGTGTACAATCATATTAGGTACATATGTAATTATTCCAACACACATAATACAAATTTTTAAAAGTTTTACATATAATATATGAAATCATTGCTGGAGCCTGAGGTATTTTGGATCAGTATTATTATTCAAGAAGAACTTAACCATTTCACATTTCAAAGAATGGAAGAATTCAACAAAAGCAATTAGTTATTAACAACTGCAAATATCTCATTCTACCTTACAATTAGGAGCATCTGAATCCTTTTTAAGGAAAAAAAGGCTTGTCTAAAATTCATTTTTTTGGTTTTTTTATTCCTTTTTTAGTGCATTTTTGACATTGTAATCTTTTTTTTACTTTTATTATTATTATTATTTTTTGTATTTGGTACAAGGTCTCACTATGTAGCTCAGACTCATAGTGATCCTCCTGTTTTCAGCCTCCCCACTGCTGGGACTACAGGCGCGTGCCACCATACCCGGATTTAGTGGCTAGTTCAACACATCCGGTGGTGGGGCCAGTGCAGCATATGCTGCTTGACTTGCCTAAGCAGGCACTTAGTCCAGTGAGCTATCTCACTGGCCCTAAAATTCACTTGTGTGAGGTAGTCAGAACTGGAGGAAAAAGTCTTCTCCAAAACATGTTTCTATTGTTTTCTTCTGTTCCTCTCATCTAAAGCCTAAAAACAAAGCCTTTTTGTTAGGCTAGGGCCCCATCTTCTGTTTCCTGTGTCAATCCCTACAACTCCTAGACTACTCCTCTGGATACAAGGATGCTCAATGAATGGGACAAAAAGAACATAAAAGAGAATATATAAAAGCCCTTTGTTGAAAACTGGGTTACTTTCACTGTTGCAAGTAGTAAGAGCAACACTTTTATCTTGAGATGGGGCCAAAGTGGCCTTGAACTCTTGTACTCAAGCAATCTTCCCACCTCAGCCTTCCATGTAGCCGGGACTTCAGGCACAGCCTTTATGTTTATGCCTAGCAACAGTATTGCCTTTAAAAGCTTTAAAAGCTATTCTTAGCTTCTTAGCCATACATGCACATAAAAGAATCATAAAATCATTTAAATGTTATCACAGTGAATAAAATGGTCAATAAGCTTGAGGAATTTTGATGTTAAAAAAACTTACTTCTTCAAAAACAGCAGCTTTGTTTACTTTTTCCCTTGCAATGTCACAGATTTTCAAGATTCCCAGAGCAAAAGCTTTCATAGCAGGATCTTCTATAAAGTCTGGATTATGAATGTAAAGGCACGTAAATACTGTCTGTGCCAAAGAATGGCCTTCCAGCCATGTTATCTATAAAGAAATAAAAGAACGTACATATTTAGTGCTAAAGAGTCTGCAAGGTCTAAACTGATCCAAAACAGACAAGATACTTCAGTAAGATTAACCAAAAGATTTAAAAAGGAATTAAAGGGAAGGTTAGAAAAACAGAGAATTCGCCTTCATTAAAATTTTTTAAAAATCATATATAGACTGTGTCCCTTATCTGAAGTAGTTCAGATCACAAGTGTTTCGGATTTCAGTGTTTTCTGACTTTGGAATATTTGCATATAATTCACAGGTTCAACATACCTGAGCTGAAATCTGAAATGCTCTGATATCTGAAATTTTTTAAACAGCACGATAGACAGTGCTTGAAAAGTTTTAGGCTCTGTGTTTTCTGATTACAAATATTCAAACTGTAAATATAGATAGCTTCTATTGTCTTTGCAATATAATTCAGTTTGCAATATACTTTAACACTATTAAGCATCTCCTTATGTAGGATTCAAAAGCAAACAAGTTCTTTGCCTCTCTTCTTTATGCTCACCATTACTAATTCAGCCAACAGCATCAACCTAGTTTGCAGGAAATCATGCAGTAGTTTCCCTCTTACTGTTAATACTTTCAACCAGAAGGATCTTTCTAGAACACAAAGATAAACACTGAGCACTGCTATAGGCTGTAAATACCAAAAGTAATTAAAACTAAGTGTTAGGTTCCAAGGATTATGCCAAGGACGGTAGTTTGATATATTTTATGTATTTTTTTCCTAACACTGAGAAAAATGGCATGTCTCTCCTTTTATATGTTAAAAAAAAAAAAAGAGTAAATAATTCTGCCAAGTTTATATAACTATATTTTACACTAAAGTCCAAGAATTTGGCAGTGGAATAATACACTACTGCATCAAAAAAATGAGAAACAATGTGAAAAATATTGTAATAAAGGTATGCATTTGGACTATGGTGCAGGAGAAAAACTTTGTAGTTACAAACCAGGTTTTACTTTCCTACCCTAGACATGATTCTTTTTGCCCTCATACAATCATTATGAAAGCATCTACATGTAATAACTGTTTCTTTGTGCATCTGTCCCCAGCAATGCACCCCTCTCACTTCCCTATACCATTAGAACTGTAAACTGATAAAAGATGGTAAAGATGTCTATGAGTGAAATTCACTTTTGGAGGACAGAAGACCAGGACTAGAATTCTGGTTATGCCTCTTCTTTATTTTCCCCCTTCTTAACAATGTAACCCCAAGCAATATAAGAAAATACAGCTACTGGCTAGGGAGAAATTATCATCATTAGAAATACATAACATTTACTCATTTATTCATTCAGCAAGGACTGATTGCCGACTATGTTAGAAATACACATACCGTAGTTGTTTTATATGCCTAATTCTTTCCACTTAGTTTGCTATGTGTAGCTACCTGTATTTTCTTTCTTTCTTTCTTTCTTTCTTT